GCCTTCTTCCTTACCTAAACAAGTCTTCATGTCTTCAGACGCCATGAAGCCATCGTAGCACAGGCACCTGTACTCTCCGGGTATGTTTGTGCACTGACCGCCATCACAGATATTCGGGTTATCTTCACACTCATCAATGTCTGAAGGGAAGAAAATCAACAACATGTTGTAGACATTGATACTGGCTCCATTATCCAGCGAGGAAGCAGCAGCTACCCAACTTAAAGAATTTCAGTCTGCTTGAATCAAATGAATGCCTCCTTAGCTTTGTATAAAAGACCCCATCAGGTTATCCTGCAGACAGAGGAGGCAGGCAATCTCAAACTCTCAGTATACGATCTGAGGACAGGACAGACCCCACACTGATCTAAAAGACCAGCAACAAACATTTAAACAAATGAATTTGTCATTCAAAATGATTGTAAATCGTATTTTGTCACTGTCCAGTTACAAATAGTTACTTTCAACATTTACTTTGGATAGTCAAAGTTACGTAGAGGTGGGTTTGGGTGGGGACTTTTAAAGGTCAAATAAAATCATTGTGGTTCCTAAGTTCGAATTCTGTCCTTAACCAGAGCCAGAATCAAAGGCTGAGTCACCCAGTCTACTTTTTATCTCTCCTCGGCTGTCTGACTCCTCCAGCAAAAGGCAGGAAGGCAGGAGTGTAAGTTAGGAGAGGGATTCACAAACTGCAGCATCTATCCAAACACACGGATCAGCAAGATGACCCCAGTACTTTTCAGTTCAGGAGATATGGAGGGAGCCTGTATGTTTATAAATCTTTGGATAATGTGGCTACTGCAGAAAACACACCTAGAATTGCACCAGATTAGGTTCAAGATCCAACTCTCCAAGATTCTGTTTAATGACAAAAAGGCTTTCTATTCCATTTATTCCAGTGCTACACCAACTTTTCTTTCTCTTTCATACACTCTCAACTGCATTGTACAAATAATGGTCTGGTGCCAAGTGTCTTGCTTAAGACACGCAGCTACAATGTGCAACAGACAAGGGCTTGAACCCAAGGTTGTTAGATTCCAAAGCGCAGGCCCTGAGCGACTCCCTTGGGGGGAGCTGTCACTGAAGGACAGAAGCAGAGGGTAAAGGTCCTCGCTCACCTGTGCACGATCTCTGGTCTGGCATGAGGGCGAACCCCGGCTGGCAGCTGCACTCATAGCTGCCTTCAGAGTTTGTACAGAAGGTCTCACAGCCGCCGTTCATTATACTGCATTCGTCGATGTCTAAGAGAAGAGGGGACAATGTTAGAATGTTTGTTCTCTCCCACACTCTTGTGGGAATTTAATTACCGCCATAGCAGTACTAAGGGATGGGACTTTGCGGAGGTGATTAAGCTATGCGGACTCCATTCTCTGGGTGGTATCAGTGGTGCCATTACAAAATGGGTTCATTTGGACACTTTTGTTTTCTTTCTCTCTTGCCTTTCCTCCATTTTGGTGCAGCAAAAAGGCCCATGCCCAATGCCAGCATTTTGCTGTTGCTTCCCAGCCTCCAGAGCTGCGGGGCAAAGAATTCCTATCATTATACATTAGCCAGTCTCGGGTGTCCCAGTACAGCACATCAATACCGGCTGAGACACCTTCTTTTGTGTTCACAGTTGTGGCGATCTTCATGGTCATTGATTCAGTTATAAACTTGAATTATGGCTCGATGGGCTAAGGTTCTGATCCTTTGCAAGAACCTGAATTGAAGTCTTGAGTTGTCCTTGGCTAGATTTCAAAAGAATTTGTGCTGATTTATGGTTTTGGGTGGAAACCATCTGAGACTTGGCAGCTCCACAGGGTGCCCATCCCAAGCCAGCCCTGAACTGGCAGCATTTATACAATCCCACTTCGAGTTTCGGCACGATAAAGCCACAGGGCCCCCTCTGTCACTCTTCGCAGCAGGACTAAACCTACAGAGGACCAACCACAAAGCAAAAGTCTTGTCCCACAAAAACCCATACTTAAGGAGTGCCAGACATGGCCTCTATTTCAAGGAAAGATATGAACATTCCATGGGCTTTTTGCCAATGGTCACTATTTGAAATCGTGAGATGACCTCCACCACGTGGGGCAGAGACCTCACCTCATGTCTTCCTGTGTTTTCCCTGGCACTTGCCATGCTTAGCTCATCTCAGGGTTAATTGCTTTGACATGCATATGCTATGTTCATTATTCAAAAAGCATACATCAGATTACATATCTTTCCTTCATCTGCTTCTTTGAAAAGTGAGGTGTAAATATGGTGAGCTGCTATGAGATTTTACTGCCAGTGAAACAAGAAAGATTAAGGAAAAGCTTCTAGCTATGATAACGGAACTGGGGTGTTCTACAAAGGGAGGAAATACAATGCACCATGAACTAAAAAGAAGGCTAGAACTTACCAACACAGAAGAGCCTATCAGGAGTAGAGTGGTAACCCGGATTACAGGCACACTGATACTTCCCTATGAGGTTCACACAACGACCATTGGGACAGAGGTGTGCACTCAGTTCACACTCATTGATGTCTGTGTGGAAACAAAGAACAGCATAGGAACGTAAGCGTCCGAATCCGGCAGAGGAACAGGCCAAACAACCGACCTCACACAAGTGGTCTAACAGAGTTCCTCCTCCTTACCAATGCAGGCGGAGATGTTTGGGGACAGCTGGTGACCAGGAGGGCATTCGCAGCGATAACTTCCCTCTGTGTTGTGGCAAATGCCTCCTCGGCACAGGAGAGGATTTCTCTGACATTCATCAATATCTGTAAAA